CAAAGTGACCAAAAACACATGCATAAATTCCTTTTCACGTTGGAATTTGTATCACTGTCCTCACTGTTGTGACAAGGCACTTGACAGAGGTAATTGAAGAAGAAGGGGTTTATTTTGAGGAATATTCCCTCATGGCCAGGAAGGAATAAGTTGCTGGTGACATTACATCCAGGGTCAGAAAGCCAAGAAGGAAAAACCCCAGGGCTCAGCTCACTCCTTTTTATTCAGTCTGGACCTCAGGCCCTTGGGATGGTGCATCTGCATTCCAGATGAGTATTCCCTCTTGACTTAAACCTAAACACTGTCATAGAGACACCTAGAGGTGTGTTTCCACGGTGATTCTAAATCCAATCAAGCTGACAATTAAGATTTGCCATCACAATATGCTATGGTAGTTTTTGACATTATATGGTCAGTCAAAACCCTGTGTACACTCTGAGTCCATGGATAGGTACATTTGCTTAAGACCCATTGATCTTAGCTAAAAGAATCCAAGGAAGTCATGTATCTCTTTCAAATGCAATGTGGCATGGTTAAATCAAACTAACATATCCATAATGAGATCTTAATCAAAGGTAAATAATGACTAGGTGAGTTGCCAAGGAGCATCTTGTTTAGGAACCCCAAAACGTCCTTGCAATCCATGTGTGATTTCTTGGGGTTTCGAAAGGCTCTGGTTTGAGTATAGAAAAAACAGCCACCATGTTTGTTTCACGGGTAAAATCAAGCAGGCCACTAGCCCCTGACCCCTCTCCTGGTAACAATCCATCTTGTTCTTCACAGTGCTCCTACATACCCAAATGTGGAAAAAACTTTGAAGAATCTATGTCCCTGGTGAACGTCGTCATGGAAAACTTCAGGAAATACCAACACTTTTCCTGCTACTCTGACCCGGAAGGCAACCAAAAGAACGTCATCCTAACCAAACTCTACAGCTCCAGCGTGCTGTTCCATTCTCTCTTCTGGCCAACTTGTATGATGGCTGGGGGAGTGGTCATCATTGCCATGGTGAAACTAACTCAGTACCTCTCTCTGCTCTGTGAGAGGATCCAACGGATCAATAGATAAAGAAAAATCATGGATAAGATCATTTTCTTTAAAGCTCAAATACTGTTTTCTTTCATTCTTCACCAAAGAACCTTAAGTTTGTAACGTGCAGTCTGTTGTGTTCCCTAATACATTATTCTACATAGAGCAATAACACAGAAGCTGTCCTGTATGCAGTCATGATGCCATCATTCAGGAGAAGTCACTGTTCTTGGTTGCTTGGTCTCATTTCCTTGTTTTGATGCTGGAATTAGTCTGTCCACTGTTCTTTCCAACAGAACGGGGCTCAGCTACCTAAGTGTCATAAATGAGTATAGGCACCGTCCACGTGACAAAGGTCTGTGTTCTGAGTTTTCAGGCCTCTTGAAGACAAGGTTTTTCTTCATTTGTTGTTTACTAAAGCTACAGCCAAAAACATGTTTTCCTTTTCTCCCTCTACACTGAGCCCTGCAGCAAGCGAAGGGTTGTGTTTCCTAATTAAAGGGTGTTGGACGTTCTCCTTGTATCTTTACCATATCACTGTAATGAAGAGAGGACACCTAGCCAACTACATTTCTGTCATTACTTTTTATTCACAGCTTTATATTTTTTAACTGATTTCCAAAAAAGAAATCTGTTTGCATTAGCCGATTCTATAATCTCTTCCTTATGATCTGATAGAAAATGAACAGAGCTCTCTTCCATTTATGACCCTGCTACTGTGTTGGGGAATGAAGCTGGTAAGGAGCTCATTCCTATGAACTGACTGGGGGGTTGCTAGATGCACCATCGCTGTGCAGGAAGGCCTGTGCTACAAAGACATTTATGTGAAAATGTTTATTCCATTTCAACTGAACCGTTAGATGCTAACATTAAGATACTACTTGCTGATAAAGACTAGTGAACTGGTTTGAATGAGTAAATCTGCTGTGGCAAACGAACACATTGGAATATTGCTCTTGGAGAATTTATGTTAAAGTGATGACTGTGTAGTCTCTCCTTCTGACAAATATTGCCTGGTAGGATTTTAAAGCTATATATGCAGAATATTTGTCTCCTCTACATATTTTATTTTTCTATTTACAATTCCTTTTTGGTTGTTATATTTTATATGCAGAATAGACTTTTTTCCTAACACACGTTTGAACTGAATAACAGATTTAAAGGAAGCCTTTCTTCACATTACTATTTATTTATTATATTTGGGTCGGGGGGAATGGGGGATTGGTTTTCAATAAAAACATTCCATCTTTTATTTAGTATCACCATCAAAGGAGAGAACAACCATCTTTCTCATCTCTAAGTACCTTTTTGTAATGTAGTATTGTTTTTTAGGTAATTGCGAAATTTTACAGATCACTGTGGAATGAATGGTACAGCTAATCTGATGAAGTGGAAATTATTCTGTGATACTGTAATTCATAGTTTGACTTTTCATAAGCAAATAAATCCCTAGGGTATAATCAGGACTTCAGATGCGTAATTAAAATTTTTTTAAAACTTAGTTAATCACAAGATTTGCATGCTTCTTGCATTGGAAACAAATTCATTGCAGTCCAAACACTTGTACTTTACTAAGGGATTGTAAACAAAATGCCTTTTATAACACCTAAACACATACACATAATGCTGTAAACATTTAGAAAACATCCATTCTACCCTAAAAACATAATTCCCAAGAGAGTAGAGAACTCTTTGGAACTATGGGGCTGAAAATTCACCATCTTAAATGTTCCCTGGGCTTCCTTCAAGTGATCCAAGGGGGAAGTATATATAATGAAATTATAACATATTATTTTTATTTTCCTTTAAGTTTTCACTAAAAGTTCCCAACTGAGGACTGGGGCTATAGCTCACCAGAGAGCACTTGCCTCACATTCTGACGCCCTAGGTTCAATCCCCAATACTGCCAACACAGTCCCAACTGATGAGTCAGAAAGAATATAGAAAAAAAAAACCTCAAAATAATAGCATCAACAGATATTAACTACTACCATCTAGAACAGTGATATAGCACCTAGCCCCGCAAACTGACTTAGATATATGCATAATTAAATGATCACTATTGAAGAGAGACCTGGACTGACGATGTTAACTGTCTTGCGTGTTTTAACTACTTTGATCTTCATAACAACTCTGTTACAGGACCACTATTAATACCTCATCCTACAGATAGGAATGATGATCCTCAGGCATGCTGAATCGCTTTCCCCAAAATTACAGGGATGATGGAGAGTAGAGAAAAGCCTCATCGTATGGCTTCCCCACTACGGAAGCCATTCCAGGCTCTGGAGTCTTTTTGATTAACCCTGAGGAATTCAGAGGTTTAGAAAGGATTGTAGGACAAAGAAAGGGAAGACGACTTTGTTGAAGAGATGCTGATCAGGTGGCCAAGCTTGTCAGTTAGCCTCTTGATTTCCTTGACTGTAAACTTAGGTAGTTAAGAATCAGTAGATAAAAAGTTCCTTTCAACAGTAACATTCTAGGGACCAGTGAGATGCCACCAAGCCTGACCGCCTGAGTTCAATCACCAAGACCCACATGGTAAAAGGAAGGATTCTATACCTACAAGTTGTCCTCTGCCCCCCCCACGTACACACACACACACACACATATACACACGTACACACACGTACACACACATACACACATGTACACACATACACTATGGCACATGTACAATGTGGCACACTCACACATGTATACACAGGCACACAAAGTAAGTAAATAACAATATAATAGTATTAGTCTTCTATGCAATGCCATGTGTGTGGAAGGGAAAATCCACACTGTCCTCCAGCCTTCGAGACAAGCTGATGTTCAGATAGAATCTGTGTGTATTAATCTGTGAATTGAAGAACAGCCTCCCTATGACACTCCCAACAGACTACTTGCCTCTTTAGGGCCCAGAGCCTTATTTACATCTGCCAACAGCAGACCTGAGTCTCCACATTACTCGACAAGAATGATTTCCCCAAATGTCAAGAATGTGTATGTGTCCAGATCACTTTCATTATCCAATTGGCAGAGCCCATCTAAATCTTTATTGATTTTAGATTGCCTGGGTTACAATTGTATTAAAACCCAGAAATGATAAATGTGCCAATGACTGCTTCTAAATGGCTATAATAAAAAGATATGGTTCTGTAGCAAGCTACTGGCAAAACCCCAGCTGATGGTAATGTGTAGGCAACCATAAATTCCTCTTATGTAGACCATGTGACATCCAGAGTTCCAGCATGCTACCCTTCTCCATTGCTGCAAATAACCAAAGAACACTTACGTATGCATAGCATTTATAAAACAAACATTATTGCCATAATGCCGAGCTATAAATGTCTTACTGAATTCTTGTGGGCAAAACAACTTGACTGTAATCATTACATTGCCATTAACAGAGACCTGGAAGACAGAAAGGGGAGGTGAGCGACTGACTCAAGTGCATTTAGCACAAGTTCAGTTACACCGCCTGCCTCCCCACCAGACCGCTGGAATGAAAATGTTCAAGAAGGTGAGGTTCGTCCCACTGTCCCAGTGAGAGAGAAGGGATGGTTAGAGGTCAGACTTTGCTCCTCTTCTCAACTACGTTTCCCCTCTCCCCTTGAGAACAATCTCATGATTCTATAATAACCATGCAAGCATATGTGCCACATGGGAGCTTTGACTTGACAAACCATGCTGTGGAATTCTCCTGAAAAAGCTGTCAGCATGGCAGGACCAGACAGACAATTTCTAAGTTGAATCTGTCTCACCGCCCCCCACACCCTGCATCTGCAATGGTAAGGAATACTACAAAGTGCCCAACACCGCCTCCTTAAGAAATCTACTAGAAGACTTGAGATAGTGCATGTGGGAGAAAAACAGAGAGCACAGCTGGTCTCCAGTCCACATGGTGGGGTAATATTTACAAGAGCTGGTATGAAACTAACCTGCAAGATAGATAGATGATGGATAAATAGATACATAGATGATGATAGATAATGATGATAGATGATAGATATAGATGATAGATGATAGCTAGATGATATGAAGATAGATAGATAGATAGATAGATAGATAGATAGATAGATAGATAGATAGATAGATAGATAGATAGATAGATAGATGATAGATGATAGAGATGAAGTGTCTAGCATTGTATGTAACATAGTAGGTGCTTATAACTATCAATAGTAAAATGTAGAACTAATATTATCAGTACTAGTGTAACCACTAGTGTAACCAGTAATAAATCATCTCTTGAAGCTGGGCGTGGTAGCACACACCTTTAATCCCAGCACTTTGGGAGGCAGAAGCAGTGGATTTCTGTGAGTTCAAGGTCAGCCTGGTCTATGTAGTGAATTCCAGGTCAGCTGGGGCTACAGGGAGACTCTGTCTCAAAAGGGCAAAAAATAATAAAGTCTCTTGGAGCTAGACTAGCCCTAAAAATATTTTTTCTTGAGCTGGAGGGATGGCTCAGTGGTTAAGAATGTTTGCTGCTCTTCCAGAGGACCTGAGTTTGGTTCCCAGCATCTACATGACAGCTCACATCTACCTCTAACTCAAGTTTCAGGGGATCTGACACCCTCTTCTGGCCTCTGCAGGCATTGCATGTATGTGGTACACATACGTACATGCAGGCAAACACATGTACGTATAAAATAAAATTAAATAAATCTTTATTTTACATAAACCGTTTTGTTCAAAACTCACACTGATAAATGAACCCCTTCCCAGTATCCTCAGTAAGAACCATCAGGACCTTCAGCAATGAGGCTGGTCACTGGATCCACTACTGTAATGAAATACCTGGTGCAGGGTAAACTGAAAAAAAGGTTAAGGCTCAAGATTGTGTTCTCTTGGCCTTGGGCTACTGATGAGCAGTCCTGGATGATGGTGGCATGAAAGAGCAGCTGCATCTGAGAAGGGATCAGAGAGAGAACAGACGGGGGTCCCACAATCCCCTTGGGGGGCATTCTCCTGGTGACCCAATGGTTTTCCATCAAGCTCTGCTGCTTGAAAGCCCACAGCACTTCCCCACACCACTACCCTGAAAGGAGCCAAACCATGAAGGTCACCCCCTCAACATGGCCATGGATGGAGAAGGTCACCACTTAGTGCTAGAAACCTGCTTCCCTGGAAGAGCTTCCCTGTCTGCCATGTCTGCATAGAACAAAATCGGTTCTCCCGTTACTGACTTGTTTTGTTAGTGCTGTTTCCTTGAAACATGAAGGAGGGGGTGAGGGGTGAGTAGCTTCTGTTTGTGTACAACACAACACAATGGAAATATACCCATCTGGCCTGGAATATTGACAGAAAGGGAAATTTAGGCATGTAACACAAGGGGCATCAATTTCACATGTTAAAGACATTAGAACCTAATATTCACAGGAAAAATCAACTGATGAACAAGCTAAATCTGGTGTCTTGTGAATTTTAATCCTGCACCACGTGTCAAGTTGATCTGGCCTTCTAGAAGGTAACATTGTCTGAAAAGCTACTATGCTCTTACTCAACATTGTGACAGCCAGAGTAAAACCACTCAAGGGCACAGAACACTCCTAGCCAAACGTTGCTATGATCGCCTTTGTTTTCCTTGGCTAAGGTTCTGTTCTCCAGGGAAATGATTAGGAAGTGGGGAGACTGTCAAGCTGTGAATTCCAGTTGTAACTGGACATTTCATTTAGGTAGAAAGAGGGGTTGTTCCCTCAAAAAAATAAAAATATCTCACTTAATTGGAGCTTCAAGAACTAGTCTTTAACCTAGTTAAAGAAATATGATCCCCAAAGCCCTCAAAACTAGTAATGGGACTTGTTACCAATCATTGCTAAAGGCTTCAGGGTCTGCACAGCCCCATCAACTATAAGCATCATGAGAATTTTTTTCAGATAGCTCTCTCTCTCTGTCTCTCTCCCTCCCCCGTCCCTCCCCCACTTGCTGTTCTCTTGGTTACATTCTTCTCTGGGTCACATCTTTAGTCCCCACAATCCAGCAAAGCTGATCTGTAGCAACTTTTGGTCACAAACTCTGTGCTTTGACAATCACGGAAGTAAAAACCCAACATTAATACCAAATCTCAAAAAACCCTGTTGTCTTTCTGGCACTTTGCCCACTACTGGGCCAGCCAATATGGCCCCAGGGGACAGTGAACACTGCTGTCCAGACTATATCACCTGGTACTTCATGCCAGCTTCTGTAATAACTTGGGCATGGTGTGTGCTTTGCAGCCTGACTAGATGACAGTAAACTCATTTTCCAAAGAAAACCTCATACGTGTTAGCAGAGTGCTTACCTAGCATGCACAAAGCCTTGGGTTCCATCCCCAGAAGCTCACAAAATCCGACTCAACTGTATGTGCCTGTGACCCTTGCACTGTCTCAGGGGGAGACAGGAGTATCAAGTTCAAATCCATTCTTGACTACATAGCAAGTCTGAGGCCAGCCTAGGATGCAGGAGGCCCTGTCATAAAATTTAAAAAGAAAACCTGTTATGTCT